GTGTACAATTGATTGACTCGACAGTACTGAAAGTTTCATCGTGATCGGCCGCTTTTTACGCGAGTTATTCGCGAAAAACCATAGGGGTGGGGGTCCGTTCGAACCCCCCCCCCCTAGTTATACGGGCGAGGGTTAAGTCATTTAAATTTCTTTTGTAGTTTTCAATTTAATTTACGAATTATGTTCCGGCAGCTATGGTCAAAATAAGCAGAATGCTGCTCAATGTACCAAGCGCCACTTCGTTCTCCGACCCGCAGAGAGCGGGGATGTAAGTAAGGCACGGCCTTGGCCGTTTCCTCTGGGGCCGCGCCGTCTGCCGAGGGAGGGGAGACCTTGCCCAGTCTGAGGGAGGGGGGACGACGGCGCGACCAGGACGCCCCGTCGCTCCGAGACCGGCGCTCACTGTATAAACAAGCAAAAAACGCTGGCCGTGCAAAGCTTGGCTGTGCTTTGACAGAGGAGTCATCTAGCGGAATATTTCGTAACTACGCAAACTTCTAACAAAGATGTCGCTTGAAGCGCAGTTGAGATTGTAGGTTTTGATCCAACTGAAAATTGACATCTCAAGGACGACAAAATGATGTAAATTTATATGAAATGGTTTTGTATGATGCGTACTTTGATTAATACCATTAATTTTCCCCTGCCTTTTTGTGTGAAACGATTTTGTACCTTGCGATTTTGTATGACACGATTTTGTATGCTGCGCTTTTGTATGTTTTGACTGTCCCCTACCCGGCCTGTTTTGTAGGTTTTGCGCATTGTATGTTACGATTTTGTATGTTTTGATGATTGTATGATAAGATTTTGTATGCTTTGATATGGAGCCGAAAGCTCCTCTGGCAGTGAGGGCGTTGCGATGTTGCGACATCAGGGCCCTGTTTCACCGGTGATAGCAGGTGTCAAATTGGGTTTCCATGGAAACCTCAACAAACCATGCCGTCGTCAATCTGTGTGATGTCATCAAATATTGCTGCTAACATCTTCACGGCCGTGCGAATGTATCAAACACATTCAACGAGACAGCAACTCTGTTCCAAACGTAGCTATGAAAAAGCTCACGGATTACACGAAACGTCATTAGTGTGACGTTATAACATTACGTCAGCTCGCGCAATTTGATAGTAGCGTGCTGCTATCACCGGTGAAACAGGGCCCTGAAGACCTGCAGAGGTTCACTTATGACGTCATAGGTCAGTGCCTGACCCAAAAATGCGGTTGGTGTCAAAAGACCCGGCTTGAATTAAAGGTCAGGTATGCCAAGTGTCAGCTCACTATCCCAGCGTGTTCGGAGCTATCGCGAAAAAAACCTATGGGGGGCGGCGGTAACCGGACAAAAGATCGTAAAGCAGAAGATCGTATGGCAGAAGATCGTAGGAAGTTGATCGTATGCAAAAGATCGTAATGGATAAAGATCGTACGACATAATGCTCGTATGGACAAAAGATCGTATTCGCTAAAGATCGTCAAGGAAAATGATCGTATGCCAAAAAGTCGTAATGGATAAAGATCGTACGACATAATGCTCGTATGGACAAAAGATCGTATTCGCTAAAGATCATCAAGGAAAATGATCGTATGTCAAAAGATCGTATGGGATAAAGATCGTACAGTCAAAATATGGTATTCACATGGTGCAGCCCAACTCCAGCGCATACAAAGCTCATTCTGTGTTCGGGTAGTAGGTAAGTGGCCGTCGTAAGCCAAAAAAAAAAAAACTCAACCGATCTCAAAACCTTTGTTTCGACCACTTCATTTAGGTGTTGCTTCATTTTTTTTTTGCACATGGGTCCCGGCAGGCCCTTAGTGTTCCTGACAAGCCTGAAGTGCCAACGAGAGGCGGTGATGTCCCTGACAGGCCTATGGTGCCCTTGCGAGGACGGTGGTGCATGACAGGCCCGTGGTGGTGCCCCTGGCAAGCCTGTGGTGCCCGTGCTGGGCCGCTGGTGTCCTTGGCCTCTGACAGGACTTTGGTGCCCGTGACGATCCTGAAGTGGCCCCCGACTGGCACGTGGTGCATCTGACAGGCCCAACGTATCCCTGCGAGGCTGATGGTGCCCTTGCCAGGTCTGTGGTGCCTCTGTTAGACCTGTGGTGTCCCTCGCAATTCCACTCGCGGCGCCCGGTAGGGGAGGGGGTGGGTGCTGGAAAGCAAAAGGTTGCGGCACCACTTTTTGCTCCTAAAATGTTGACGATATTCCGCAACCACGATTGCAAAATGCAAATCTTGAAACAAGCTCTAGAGGATTGTTATTGATTTATCGATGTCTTCGATGTATTATTAATAGCCCACTAAAAATAGTGCCTACGATATTATTGGTACTGGGAAATGTGAAACTCTGAAAAAAAAAACTGAAAAAACTGAAACTCTGGCATTGGGGGCGCACCCAGCTGTGAGAGGCACACCTATGCTTGTGACGCCCCAATGCTTTTTTTTAAATCCACACGCTCTCATAAATGTGAATTTCTTGATATAATTGTGGGCATGAAAATTTTCGAAGTTCTGGATAACATGACATTATAAATATTTCTAGTTTTATATCTCTGATTTCTTTTTTAAACAAAGTGGTGAATTTATATATCATTGGGTTCATCTATCTTCAGGATATGTCTTCAGTTCAGCACCCCAAATGCTTGATTGAGCTCCCCCAATAAGACTTGAGCACCCCAACAGGGGCACACCACAGGTCACAGCAGCACACGCACGTGACGGTTTTTCGTAGAATATTTTGCGACTAACGGGCTTTTTGCTATACAATCATTTACCTACAACACTATTCTATACGATTATTAACTTTACGAACTTAAAGTTACGATCTTTTACAGCATGCGGTCTTTATCTCACGACCTTTGGTCGTACGATCTTTTGCGACATACGATATTTATCTTACGATCATTTTCCTACGATCTTTTTCCTACGATCAATTGCTTTACGATCATTTGCTTACGATCTTTTTGTCGTACGATCTTTTACAACATACGATCTTTATCTAACGATCATTTTCGTACGATCTTTTTCATACGATCAATTGCTTTACGATCTTTTGCTTACGATCTTTTTTCCGTACGATCTTTTACAACATACGATCTTTATCTTACGATCATTTTCGTACGATCTTTTTCCATACGATCTTTTGTCTTACGATCTTTTGTCACGTAATCGGGGGGCGGCACCCCCCCCCCCTTGGCCGGCGAGGGTTAAGTTCGAAGGCTGAAACTCTTCCTAGATCTCCTTGGAGAGGCATTCTGCGTCCCAAAACTGTTTCTGGACTGCCAACCGCACCCTGGTCAGCGTCTGGCCGCCTATAACCCCGCAATACCGCGAACCCGGCCTTTTGCATAGGAACAAAGCGGGACGAAACGGAGGCCTTCTCTTTCGCCTTTATGGGACCGTTTTAGGGTTTGGACGAGTGTTTCGTCTCGAACATGGACTAGGTAGTCCAGATGACCACATTGATGTCATCGGTCCTCAGTTTTTTTTTGCCTCAGGCATAACAAGACACATGCTTGGTCACCTTAAGACATTTTCGCCTGTTTTGAGTCCTCCGGTAAGTCCTAAGCTTAAGTCACCTTGAATAATGTACCCCCAAAAATATTCTCAGCCAGCTGATAATCCATCCTGAAAAGCCAGCTTATCAACTTTCAAACGTTTTGGCCTTTTTGATGGCCACTTTGGCGCCACACATGTTTTGGCCTCATGGCTCACTCCTGAGAGCTGACAAAAAAGAGCATAAACTTGCAGCGATTGACTCCCGACCAATCATCGGTGTCACTTGCTGACTGTGCGTCCAGTTAGCGACAGACATGGGCTACAGACTGGATGGCCTCAATCACCCTCAACCGTCGCGAATGGCCCACGTGCGCACTAAATACCGAGACGTACCCGTATCGGAGACCTCTATGTTGCGGGCGTTAGCCGTCTCCACAGGAAGTGAACTCTCCAGCAAAAAAATATTTTGTTTAGACGAATTAGTTACCGTGGAGCATATTCACAGTTGCCATGACAACCCCATAGGCACAGTTACAGACTAAATTCAGCGTGGATTTCAATAAGAGAGCCTCTAAAAGAAAAATTCAGGTGAGAACGAACTTATGGGACACCCTGTATGACGCTAGAGTATTGCATTTCGGTGGTTCCTGGCGCTGAAATCAGTTTTACAAGTAGAGAAATCGCCGGTGCTAAATGCACCCCCGAATCTCGAGCCACGCAAAAGAAATCGCCACGATGTGGAAAATACCATTAGCCTGCACTACTGATGTTTTCACACCGCCAGTTTTTTTTTTTGCGTGTTTGGGTTAAATGGGGGGAGACTTGACGAAATGAAAATAGTAGCAGTCGGTGCAGCTTTGTCTGTTGGTAAGACTGGCTCCTGTTGTGCTGCTGGGCATGGTGTGGTTTCAGACGGCTGAATGTGCTATGTGACAGTGTGTGCGGGCTGAGGGCCGGTGGCCCCGGACCGCTGCGGGCCGGTGGCCGCGGACCGCTGCGGCGGCCGTCTGCAGCCGACTGACTGACCTCTGCCGCCCACAGCACAGCTGTGGCTACGGCAGCCGACTGACTGGCCTCTGCCGCCCACAGCACAGCTGTGGCTACGGCAGCCGACTGACTGGCCTCTGCCGCCCACAGTACAGCTGTGGCTACGGCAGCCGACTGACTGGCCTCTGCCGCCCACAGTACAGCTGTGGCTACGGCAGCCGACTGACTGGCCTCTGCCGCCCACAGCACAGCTGTGGCTGCCGTCCGCAGCCGACTGACTGGCCTCTGCCGCCCACAGTACAGCTGTGGCTACGGCAGCCGACTGACTGGCCTCTGCCGCCCACAGTACAGCTGTGGCTACGGCAGCCGACTGACTGGCCTCTGCCGCCCACAGCACAGCTGTGGCTACGCCAGCCGACTGACTGGCCTCTGCCGCCCACAGTACAGCTGTGGCTACGGCAGCCGACTGACTGGCCTCTGCCGCCCACAGCCGACTGACTGGCCTCTGCCGCCCACAGCACAGCTGCTCGCCAAACGTCTTCGTGCAGAACGTCTTTGTGGACACGCACGACCTGCGCTTCCCGTGGGTGGCCTTCTTCGCGCTGTCGTACGTGCGCGCCGGCACGGAGCTTACCTGGGACTACAACTACGAGGTGGGCTCCGTGCCCGGCAAGGTGATGTACTGCCACTGCGGCAGCCAGGAGTGCCGCGGCCGGCTGCTGTAACGGGCCGCGCTACCGTACTGCCACTGCCCGGCAGCCAGGAGTGCCGCGGCCGGCTGCTCTAACGGACCGTGCTGCCACTGCGGCAGCCAGGAGTGCCGCGGCCGGCTGCTATAACGGACCGCGCTGCCGTACTGCCACTGCGGCAGCCAGGAGTGCCGCGGCCGGCTGCTCTAACGGGCCGCACTGCCACTGCGGCAGCCGGGAGTGCCGCGGCCGGCTGCTCTAACGGACTGCGTTACCACTGCGGCAGCCAGGAGTGCCGCGGCCGGCTGCTCTAACGGGCCGCGCTGCCACTGCGGCAGCCAGGAGTGCCGCGGCCGGCTGCTCTAACGGGCCGCGCTACCGTACTGCCACTGCGGCAGCCAGGAGTGCCGCGGCCGGCTGCTCTAACGGACCGCGCTACCGTACTGCCACTGCGGCAGCCAGGAGTGCCGCGGCCGGCTGCTCTAACGGACTGCGTTACCACTGCGGCAGCCAGGAGTGCCGCGGCCGGCTGCTCTAACGGGCCGCGCTACCACTGCGGCAGCCGGGAGTGCCGCGGCCGGCGGCTGTGAGGCTCCGGCTGCGGGGGACAGCAGAGCTGTCCGCTGTGACACCGGGGACCGCCGCTGGTCGGCCGACCTCTGTTCGCGATACCGGCCAGTAACTAATGGTCGGGTGTCTGGAGAGGGGAGGGAGGGCTCGGGCGCGCTGTCTGGAGGGGAGGGAGGGCTCGGGCGCTGTCTGGAGGGGAGGGAGGGCGCGCTGTCTGGAGAGGGGAGGGAGGGTTCGGGCGGTGTCTGGAGGGGAGGGCGCGCTGTCTGGAGGGACAGGGTGGATGTGCGGCACGGCGGGCGAAGCCGGACTGCCGCCGGCCCTGAATCTGTGAAGGTGAGGGCGAGGCTGGGGCGGTGTGCGTATGTGTGGCGGGGTGAGTGTGTCCGCAGCTGCCTGTCCGTGCTCGATTTGAAGACGCTCCGACGGCTCTCAGTGGGTCTTGGTGTGGTGTTTGGGCCCGCCAGAGTACCGTGCGGGGCGTTTTCGGGCGTCCCTTGCCGCGGCAACCAGATCACGCCTGTCTCGGTGTTTAGTTCGTCAGTTTTGCGTGGTGATCGGCTGCAGTCCTGAGCGGCCCGACGGCGCGGCCGTGATCTCCGGCGGTGGCTGGCTATGCCGCCGCCGCCGCCCTGCCTGTGTCTGTCACAATAAACCTGTTCACTTGATGGCGCCGGCTTTCAGTTGCCTCCCGTCGGCGCGTGGGAGGCTGGGGTGCCGGGCGGTTAACAACTGTTTGGCATGACAGTTCACCCAGGCCGGAATCGGTCCGGGCCGACAGCTCTGGTAGTGACCGGAGGCGAGTCGAGTCGAGGTCGCAGGGATCGCGTCGCCCAAGCCTAGAGCTGCATGAAAATATTCCGGTGGTTGACCACTCGGAGGCTGGCCTTGTCGCAGCCAGCGCCACACTGCTGTATTTGATTGTTTTGTTTTAGTCAGTTACTTAACCCTCGCCCATGTAGGGGGGTTGGTGCACCCCCCCCCCCCTGAGGTTTTTCGGAAAAAGTGCAAAAACGGCGGCGCGCAGCGCCGCCAAATTTTGGGTACCTTATGGGGCAAACCTTGCGCATCTTTTGATAAAAAAAATTTGACCGGGTCATGTCAGGTCACGGAGTTATGACGTCACAAAGGGAACAGCCTCCGGCCGGATTTTCACAAACTGAGTGCCAACGCCCGAGGTTTCCTGCCGGTGGTACGGACATCGGTTGATGGATCGTGATGAAACTTCCCATGCATGTTGGGGCAAGTATTGGCTATCATATGGTATAAGAAACTTGACCGGGTCAGGTCAGGTCACGGAGCTATGACGTCACAAGAGGAACAGCGTCCGGTACTATTTTTGAAAAGCGCCCGAACCACTATTTGCTAATTCTTGTCACCTCAATGGGAATATGCAGCAATATTAGCTTCTATAGGGAGCAAATGGACATCCCAAATCCAAAAAATACAATCAGATTTCAAAAATTTAAATTTTGATTTTTCGAATTTCTGCCGCCGACTGTGACCTTGCCGACTTCCGGCGCTCCCAACGCGCCATTTTTTAGAGCTAGGGAAACGAAATACATACCAAACGATAGGGAATTGATCAAGGAACACGATAGTGAAGGTTTTAAGTCGATATCTCCCACCGTTTTGCCGCAATCGCCGCGGAAAATTTGAAAGTCTATTTTTCCGAAAATTTGACCTTTGACCGGTCAAAAGTAGGTCAAATGTTGGCCTAGGACCAAAAAATATACCACCAATCGCGAGATCTGGGCGAGAGCAATCCGTTGGTCTTTTCCGCTAAGCTCTACGACGCTCCGTTTTCAAACGCCAAGGGGGGGGGGTCGCACCAACCCCCCCCCCTGCATGGGCGAAGGTGGCAGATCGCCGTTTACGGGCGAGGGTTAAAACACTTAATAATAACTGAATGGCTATTGGCTATCCCTAGTGTCGAGCCGTTGAAAGGGAGGCAGGTCAGCATTCACTCGGAATCTCCTCACCTGCGCAGCCTATCACACTGAATCATCCTTTCGTAAAAATGCAGAATGACCTTCCTTATTTCTTAAACAAAATTTGTTGGACGCTTATCTTATTTTTACTGGAGCCTTTTAACCCTCGCCCCGCTGGGAGGGGACAATTTGCCCCCTGTTGTTTTTCCTGAATAGCAGGAAAACGGCGGCGCGCAGCGCTGCCAAATTTTCAGTACCTTCCCGGGCATCAATTTAACACCTTCACACAAAATTTCAAGTCTTAGGTCACCTTACATCAGGAGTTATTGAGGTCAAACTGAGGTCATGTTCGAGCAAAAATGAGCAAAAAACATGAAATCTTGAAACGCTCACAAAATCTACAGCTACTAAGCAATTTCAAAGTTCTTTATATGGTCATGTAGAAAAAAGGTGGAGCTACAAAACTGCTATCTCGGATTTTCAAAATTTTGGGTTTTTGACCCCCAAAAATAAAAAAAGATTTTTTTTTTAGAAAATTAAAAAAATCTCAAACTTTTCCGAATTTCGAAAAACCGGAATAAATGTGATAGTCCCTGCGCTCTTCTATATACATACCAAATTTCAGATCGATATCTTCTTTTTTGGCCAAGTTATAGCGAAAAAAAAAACTTCAAATTTGATGACGTCAAATTTTTGAACTCAATTCTTAGCAATTTTAGACCACGTAGCGCAAAACAAAGACCACCACTGGACTCCCCGTGACGAGCTGCATCGAATCGATACCCATTTTATGCAAAAATAGTAACTTTGAAATTTGACCGAATTTGACCTGACCTTGACCTGACCTTCACCGGAACATAATCTAAACTGACCCCAAAGGCTGCCTGACCCACATAATCTTATTTGTCATATAAAATGGACCATAAAACATGCATCACATGATATTTTCATACTGTGACCTTCAACGTGACCTGCCCTCTGTGACCTGACCTGGTATCAGTGACCTCAACTAGCAAAATAGGGTAAGTGGCTCCTATGACGCACACTTCCTAAAAGCGCACACCAAGAACTTTTTTTATGTAGGTAGTTCCTTCAGCAGAAGCCAGGAACGAAAAAATCAGCTGTCAATCACTTCCAGCGACATTTGTGCTGCGTGTGGACGGCGGTGGGGTGTTGTCGGCTCAAAAGGTGAGTAGTTATGGCGGATATTGTGATTGAGGTGCAATGTTTCTTCAGCAAAAAAGTGCCTGAAGCAATAATGCATGTTTTAAGACGCATGCACTTCTCGCGTAAACCTGAATAGGCCGGAAAGATCGATGGGCACTGACCGGATGGCAATGAAACGGGACTCAGTTTAGGCGTGCATGCTTTACCCAGAATGCGTCAGTGCTGACGGGAGGGGGCTGAATGTCAGGTGTGCGTGTTTAGGGCAACTGGTTCTGCAATGACGCACACTTTCAGTGCTGCAAATGCGCACAGTACATCTGATGATTATCTAGCCTTCTTTCTTACAAGGAACAGCTTATATCACGATGAATTGACATGCTAGGCATTGGCACAGTGTAGAATGCGGCATTGAGCTCCACTCCCGGCGGTGGAGCTGGCAAAACGGCGGTGGAGCTGGACGCCGGGCCCGGGAGCTCGGCATGTGAAGCCGGGCCCGGGAGCTCGACTGGTGAAGCCGGGCCCGGGCGCTCGGCTGGTGAAGCCGGGCCCGGGCGCTCGACTGGTGACGCCGGGCCCGGGCGCTCGACTGGTGACGCCGGACCCGGGCGCTCGGCTGGTGACGCCGGGCCCGGGAGCTCGGCAGGTGACGCCGGGCCCGGGAGCTCGGCTGGTGACGCCGGACCCGGGCACTCGGCTGGTGACGCCAGGCCCGGGCGCTCGGCTGGTGACGCCAGGCCCGGGCGCTCGGCTGGTGACGCCGGGCCCGGGAGCTCGGCCGATGGAACATCTCGTGCTGACTCCGTATCCATGCGGGACGACAAAGAACTAGATAGAAGTCTGCATGACGTGATGCCAACCCCTCGCGTGCAGTGGAAAGGTAAGCGAAGGGCAGTTAATAGAAATGCTGTGCTGGTAAAGAGGGCATTGCTTGAGTCCGACGGTAACAAGGAAAAAACAAAGAAAACAGCCAAACATGGACACGTGAAAATAAAATAGGTAAAGCCCAATGAAGACCAGTCATCAGAAAGTGAGACGACATGCATATACTGCTGCATGAAGTTTTCACGATCGTGTGAAGAGTGGATACAATGTCAAGTGTGCACTGGCTGGGCATGCGTGCCATGCACTGACGCTGAAACAAAACAGACAAGTTTCACTTGTGACCTCTGCCGACAGTAGATACTGGGTCAGTGAAAAGGTTTCGAGTTCATGATGTGTTCATGATGCGTTCATGTTCATGGTGTGTTTCATGATGTGTCGAGTTAAAAGTTCATGATGTGCTCATGGTGTTCAACTTTGAAATAAAGTGATTTATTTGATCAATACCTCGACATGTTTATTAAACCTGTTGGAATTGTTCTTGTGCGCATTTGAGGCAGCTGAATGTGCGTCATAAGAGCACCGGTGCTCTATTAGCGCACGTCGGACGTTGGTGGATGTTTTGCCTTAGGTATATGTCATAAATGATGAAGGAACGCTGGAACGTAAAAGTCAAATCAAGAAAGCAAATGCTTATGAAAACTGCTTGTGACCATTTTATCAGCAAAACAGGGTTCAGTAAGTCTCAAAAGCAGTTTTCCTACTAGGTGTGCGTTATAGGAGCCACTTACCCTATGTGTTTGAAGAACATTTCCCCACCGATGATTTTCAATGAAATGCATTTTACTCGATTTTACAACGCATTTCTTGAAATGCCTGTAAACGGTGAAAATTTGACCTTTGACCTGGCCTGTGACGTCATCGGTTTGACCTAGGTCAACGAAATTGGATCACAAGGTAGTTCCCTGATGGGGCTATCCAACACCGTTTGCCGTTTGTCGCTATGTTGCGTGGTTCTCGAGATCTTGGGGGGGGGGTCAAATTGCCCCCAGG